CACTGCAGATGGTACAAATCCATACATTCATTGTAGCCTCTTTCGGGTGAATAGAAGTGAAGGATCTTGAGAAAGACACAACTTTTTCTAGTTCATAAAAGGAGTTGTACAGGTAAGCTGTGACCCTCGTGGCAAATGGTACATGATTATGTATAAATATCCAAAATTCCAAACCCTCTGAACCTGCCCCTGTCCTGTATGCTGCTATAAATTAGAGGTTAATGAAAATGCGTGCTACTAACTGAACAAAATCACCTGTCCCTGCTTCTCTTGTCACTAAATTTCAAGCTGTACGGGGACCTGAGGTCAGTAACCCCCTTAGTGTCAGTGAGGAATTAGCCCGGGCCCAGAGAGCCTTAGTCATAGACAGTACTAGTCTGTCCAGGCTGCTATAACAAAATACACAGACTGGGCGGCTTCCACAACAGAAATTTATTTCTCCCAGTTCTGAAGACCTGAGGCCCGAGGTCAAGGTCCCGGATGGTTCTATTCCTGCTAAGGGCTGTTTCAGGACTGGCTATGGATGGCCGTCTTCTCCCTGTGTCTTCCTGCGGCTGAGAGAGCGGACTCTCCAGTCTCTTCTGCTGGGGACGAGCATACCAACATGGGGCTCCACCCCATGACCTCATCTAAATCCCAGAAGCCCCCTAAGGCCAACGCACTGGGGGTTAGGCGTCCGTATGTGACTTTGGGGGTGACACCGTATCTGGTCACTAACATACCTGAGGCCAGCAGAAGCCCACGCCTCGCCCATCCGGGCATCACACTGGCCACCAACTGGCAGGTCCTCAACAGGGCTAGGAGAAAAGCTGCTCACCCCGCTTCCCACCGAGGCCTCCAGATCTGCCGCCTGGTCACCCCGGTGTCTGCACCGCTGGCCTGTTCCAGGCCCACACCAGGAGCTGAGCTCACAGCTTCAAACCGTAGCCTGTGAACACTCCCAGATACTGGGGCATCAGAAGGGGCTGGGCATAAATAAAACATCATGTTCCATCAGCGTCCTGGCAAAGTAGTTTTGACCATGATTCTATCCACTGAACAACCGTCACACTCCAGGACAGGATTCACGACAAAGGTCCCCACGAGAAGCTCAGGGGATGTGAGACCCCGCCTGGTCCTTCCAAAGGCTCACAGGAAAGTCAGCTTCCTGAGTACCAGCCAGAGCTGCGCATGTCCCTCCCAGGACACCTGGCTGGCTTCACCTGGGACGCCGAGCAGCCCCCTAGGAGGACCATTTTCTTCTGTCCTTGTTTTATGGAAGGGAAATCCAAAGCCCAGCAGATGTGTGAGTGAGGCCAAGAGCCAGAGGTTTTGAAACAAAGACAAGGTAGAAATCTTAGACCCCCAGACAGCTGCCGTGGACCCGGGTCTGCAGCCTGGAGATCTGGGACAGAGGAGGAATCCTGAGCTCCTGGGTCCCCACGGAGAATGGACAGAGAGACAGGGAAGCAGGGGCCGGAGAGAAAATAGGGGTCGGAAGCTCTCTCAGTGAAGCGCTGAAGGAGCAGAGGCAGGAGGAAAGGAGGGGCTCAAAACTCAGGAAAAGGGTGGAGGAAGGAGGCAGGCCGCAGCCAGGTGCCCAGCTTCCTGTAACCAGGAAAATGCAAACAACGAGGTGCAGTCACTGCCCCGCAAAACCCAGTGCAAGTTATGATGGGCACCGGCAGAGAGCCCGTGCCCGGTGAGTGGCCGGCGAGGGGGATACAGGCCCCAAAGATGCACAGCCCCACTCCTGGGCATCCACTCTTGCAAAGCCTTGCACACATGATCCCGGGAAGAAGCACGAGGGTGATCAGAGCACAGCGGCCCAAATCTGGAAACAGTCAGATGTCACCGGGGACATGGCGGTCGGGGGCACCGCACTCCTGCTGGGGACTATGACGCGGTGATGAAAGCCGACCACTGCCCCACCAGAGCACCACAGATGGGCAAGAAGCTGGACCCGAAGGACTGCAGCCAAGGACCCCGGTAGATGAGGTTCAAGGAAGGAAAATGAGCCTGAGAGCTCCGGCACGCAGTCCTGGATGGGTACGCACAGAAAACCAAGGTGGATTAGCAAAGTGAGCCACCCAGGGGGAGGACAGGGACGGGGCCATGGGGACCTGGAGTCCGCCAGCACCCACGTCATGACCTGTGGGGCCACACGGTCACTGCGTGAGGATTCCTTAAGCTGCCCGCGCTCCTTGTGCAGTTCGCTCTCTGCCTGCAAGGGCGGAGGCAGTGGGCGGCCTGTGGCCTCCGGAGGCAGAAGCACAGGCTGACCTCGCCCTGGCCCTCAGCCCCCACAACTCTCTGCAGCCGGTGCCAGGGTGGAGATGGAGCCCATCCGGGAGTCCCTGGGTGGAGCATGTGGGGCTTCCGGGCTCAGGGTGGAACGAATCGTGGGTCCCTCGTGTCCCCACCCGAGCCAGGCCCCCATCTGCCCGCCAGCCTCCCTCTGCCACACTGACGGCGCACGGCCTGGTCCTCCTCTCAGGGGCCCGGGGAGGGAGGTGTCTGACTAAAACCCTCTCCGGAAAGTAAGGGCCAGTCACAGCACGCGGGCTAACACCCAGTCACTCCCCTCCTGTCTCCCCCGCACAGCCGCTCAGACAGGCTTCACTGAGCCCCACATTAGAGAGGCAAAGAGCCCAAGCCGGCACAGCCAGTCAGAGCACGTGGGCCAGGGTCAGGATCCAAACCCAGAGAGGCCCCAAGCCTGCTCCTTAGCCGGATCCACCAGCCCCCAGAGCCCCAGTGGAGAGCATCGCCCACCGACAGAGAATGTGACCGGGAAGAGGACAGCGCAGGGCTGTGCAGCACCCAGAGAGCAACACGCCCAACCTTTTCCTCAGAGCTGGCGCTCGAAGCCCAGAGAGGGGCGGTGGCTCCCCACAGTCACACAGCGTCCCGTCCCGATGTGATCACTTTCCTCTCCCTTGTGCAGCAGCCCCTCGTGCCTGCTCCAGGTCAGGTCTTTGTCCCTCCCGCCCTCCAAGGGCCTCCCCCACCACAACAGCTGTGTCCCCGCCTTGCTCCTCACCTCGCTGTCCAGAGGCCAAACCCCTGTCACCGGAGGAAGCCAGGATCCCCAGTCTCTCGGGAGACAACGCTGCTGCCGCCGGGAGGCAAGGACAGGACCCTCCACCTGGCCTGCCTGGCCCCTGCCCAGCCACAGAGCCTCCTGGCCGGCAGGTGCTGGGCAGCCACAGCGGTGGCTGGCACACTCTGCTCCTGCCAGGCTGCCTTGAATAAACACAGCTGCATAGCAACGGCTCTCGGAAGGCGCCGGCTCCGTGTGCGGAGAGAGCGAGCGGGAGGCTTTTCCCCTTGGTCTCCTTTCCCCTGTGGCTCCCCTGGCCTCTGGGCACTCCCAAGTGGCTGACTTGGCACGCGGGGCCGTGGCCATCACAGGGAGCAATGGGCACAGGGTGTGACCACAGCAAGGCAGTACAGACTGGCTTTGGGCAGGGGATGTGGACAAGTGAAGCCCAATGGGGGTTTTTGTATTTTTGAGACAAGGTCTTGCTAAATAGCTCAGGCTGGCCTTGAACTCGAAGTGATCCCCCTGCCTCAGCCTCCCGAGTGCTGGGATCACAGGCAAGGGCCACCACACCCAGAGTTAACCCCAATTAGGAAACCTCTGGGCCCAATGCAGTTCTGCTCCCAGACTGCTTCTAGAGGCAGAAAGGTGGACAGGCTGAGCGGCCAGGCAGGGATGGCCCAACACTGTGCCCTCTGGCCAGTACCTACCCATTCTCAGCCTCTGTTTCCTTGTCTATAAAATGGGTGTGACAATAACTGACTCTACCTGGTTGCTGTCAGCCTTAAAAGGGTCTCTGGAACAGCCTTATGATTTGTCCAGCATAAAGAAGCTCATCTACAAATGCTTGCCTAGTAGAAAGCCTCTTCCCCAGCCAGACTCGTCTGCCCAGCTTTTGGAAAACATGAAGTCTGGCAAAAATATTCTTCAAGAGTGAAGATCAAATGAAAATATTCTTAGATGAAGGAAACAGAACTGTCACCATTAGACCTAGCCCAAACAAATGAATGCGGAAAGTTCTTCAAGCAGAAAGGGGAGGGGGAGGATATAAAGAATGAGAAAGGACAAGACAATTAAAGCAGTGGTCAATACAATAGGCCCCAAAGGCTGGGAAAACCCCAGGCATGACCCCTACAACTGGAGGCCATGGAGGGACAAAGGAGCACAGGTGAGGCATTTCAGACACTAGACCAAGCAGCCTCTAGCCACACTGCTGCGCGTCCCCTCTTGTGCCCAGCAGGCCCTTACTACCATGCAGGCCTGGGCGGGAGGCTCGTGTGACATTAAGTGAACAGATTTCTAATGAGATCCTGGGTCTACTCAAAGACCCACAGGCTGAGGGAAATACAGTGACTGAGACAGCCTGACAAATCCTGCTCCCTGGCCAGAAACACCGATTCGGCCCACGTGAACAGAAATCACACACATGGCACAACCCTTAAAGAACCTTTCTCAACACATGAGAGTAGCCACCCGAGGAGGAAAGCGAGCAGGCAGGGACCAATGTGAGCCATCCAGACTGGGCTGCCAGGCAGGCAGATCTCCTCACCAACATGCAGGGGACAGGAGGCCAGAACCACAGCCATCTAGAGGAGGAAGATGGGGTGCTGAGGGCCCCCAGGCCAGGTGTTAGCACTGGGAAGACACAGAGACTAGAGGTTGCTGTTCAGCCACGTAGAGCACAGAGCCTAAGGCACTGGGCTTGGCCAAGTGGCTCCCAGGGCAAGGACTGTAAAGGTCTGTGAGGATCAACTTCAGAACTATAGGGGCTAACAGGAAGCAGTGACTTCTCCATCTTGGGAGAGTTCAAGAAGCCTGATGGCGCCCTTCTAGAATGCTCCTAGGAGATCCAGTCTCCTCCCAACCTCCCAACCTCCCAACCCTCAAACCCAGCAAACACCCTTACAGCTGAGGAATTTGGGAACGGGGGAAATGGAAGACCCATTTCTGTGGCTCCAGCCCAGACTGGGATCCTGACCTTAGTTAGCCAGGCCTGCCCGAGGACCAGTGAGACTCTCCGGCCCGGTCACTCCCAACTGTGTTCTGTGGGACAAACCTGAAAGCAAAAGAGAAGAGGTCCTGTGGTAAGGATAATTTGGGAAATAGGAACTTAAATAATGCTGCACTAGTGTCTTAACTCCGCCTTGTTTGACACTGGCTAAGTATTGCAATACGCCAACAGAGGGACGATGTGAAGCAATTTCCAAATCTGTACGACTGTAGAGACCTATCTGCTCACAGAGCATTTCTTAAGACCAGAGTTTTAAGGAACACACTGCAAAATTCTTGCTCTAAGCCATTTGAAATTTCCAAAGCAACTGGCCCAGAACTTGAGCACAACCAAATAACAAATTTAGAAAAAGGTATCCACATTAGTCAAGTCCTTTCTCTCTCTCCCTCTCTCTCTCCTTCTCCCTCTCTCTCTTTTTCCCTCCCCCCCTCTTCAGTTGATCCATGAACATCCTCATTACTTCCCTGTAAATAAGGCATCAGAAGCAAAAAGGAAAGAAAACCAGTCAGAAAAAAAATACCTCGGAAGACATCAACCCAAATCAAAAAAGAGAGACTATGCTTTCTCACCGAAGAAACTAAGTTGCCTGGGGATCCCACAACCAACTCTCCAACCCTTCCCTAGAATCTGTAGACGACCAATTCACTTCACACAGGCCTTTCCAGGCGTCTCTGGCCTGCTGGAAAGTGTCTGACAGACACTCCAGAATCTTCCAGCTCTTACCTGAGGAGCCAGCTTTCCAGGTCAGCAGTCCCGAGCCTGCTGTCTCAGGCAGGCTCAAGCCATCGGCCGGGGCTCCCGGGAGGGAGAGGGACAGGGAGATGACACACACATCATCCTCAAGGAGACCAGCCAGGGCTGGCCGGAGAGAGAGCTGGGCCTAATGGTGTCTGGGCCCTGGCTCCATTAGATGTGAATGGAAAGAAGAGACTCTTGTTTCTTACTGTTCGCCTGGGTGACAGTTACCATGGATATAAATCAATTTTTGGAGCCCATCAGTCGCCAGCTGAATATAAAGAGCATGCTCTCTTCGAGCCGCAGGCAGGCAGAGCCACACACTGGGACGGGACGATCTGACGCAAGCTCAGGTGTGGATGTGCAGTGGTCACAGGCAGGCGCCTGCTCTGGGGAGGAGGCCGTCCAAGGTTCCTGACACAGCACTCTCAGGAGCAGGCAGAAGCCATCTGACCTAGGCGGGCAGTGCCAAACTCCCCTGTCCTCACTCCAACGCGCAGGACCTTTGAAACTCTGAAGACCTTCCCTAGAATGCTCAAAGAAAATATCCCCACACCAGCCCTGAGAGTGTGCCTCCTAGCGGCCACCGTTGTTATAGCACTTCCTGTCCCCGGGCATGAGCTCATTTATCCTCACTTGGGGTGCTTACTCCTACAAATTCCTGCTCTGTAGTCCAGGAAGCCGAGGCCCAGAAAGGTCACTCAACTAGCGACTCAACCAGTGAACGCGGCCAGGATTAAAATCCAGCAGGGCCATTTTAGCAGCAGTCTTATCCGTGGACCGGACTTCCAGAATTCAAACCCAGCTCCATTCCCCGGACCTCATGCAAATAAATCCTTACACCTCTGAAATGGGAATGAAAATGTATCCTCCGCCTATGTCCTAGGGTCTGTTAGGAGAATTATACAAAAGGTGACCCAAATGTAGGCAAAGGAAGGGAGCATTCACTAAGTGCCTGCTGTGTGCTCTGGCTGGTACATTGTTCTGTATAATTCTGCAGGAGAGGCCAGCACCTAGGAGGAAAGGCAGGTGTCAGAGACTCCAAACCAGGAAGCCACAGAGTCTGGATTCCCATGCGAGGCTGCTTGGGTCCAAATATTTGTGTTTTGTTTTTCAGTGATGAGATTTTGTTTTTATAAAAAAGGATCCCATGTGGAAATGAGTGGGACAATGGTTTAAAGAAACAAATGATTAAAGCTCTAAGCCAACTCTGAGATCCCAGTTAGTCCTCTAAGACCACAGTCCCCACTCTGTGGACTTGGTGCTGACGTCCTCCCATCTCAGCCACACCCTTGTCCTCAGTCTTCAGCTCTGTCTCCAAGGTGACCGCTTTACTCTCAGAGTCCGGGGCTGGTTCAATTTCAGTGATGGGCTCCCCATCCCCTGAGGTGCTCTCCACAGCCTGGATTGCTGCGGTCAGGCCAGACCCCACGGCCACCAGCTCACTGGGCTCCTCACGGTTGCCATGTTGCCCAGGGTACTGCCAGCCTGCACGGTGGTAGAGCTTAGCAGTGCCAAGCCAGGTGAATGGGTGGATGGTTACCGTGTCTGGTGAGCTGCTTTCGGTGTAGAGGATTCCAATGCAAGGCCATCTGGGTCCAAAATATGTCTTCTTGTTGTTGTTATTGTGTTTCAACCACACAGGCTAGAAGGCAGTGGTGGAGAGTCACAGGGCTGGCGTCCTGGCTCGGTGTGGCGTGGAGACCTGCTCGAGGAAAAGAAGTGACCCGCTGGGGGCATGGGGATGCGGAGAGGCTGCAGCTGAACCGGAGGAGAAGGCTCGGGACAGTGGTGGAGCCCGGCCGCCAGAGCCCAGGCCTCTTCGGAGGAGTGCGCGCGGGCCTGAGTACCATGGTTTGGACTGTCTGGGATTTCAGCCTGTCATCCTGGGCTGGCTTCTTTCTCTCTTCCGACCGGCGTTCCAAGCTTAAGGTTACTGTGCGTGGTCCAGGACAAAAATCTTCTGAAGGCCAATTTGGTTGCTTTTTCCTTACTGCCTATCACTGCTCCTCTTCCAAGTGTCCAGTTCAACCTTGGTGACCACCAGTGAGTCAGGCTCTGCCTCGTAACTTCTTCATTGCTTGGTGTCTGATAAGCAACGGTGTCTTCCAGAGCATAGGGAAACTGCTCTTCTCCCTGCTCTACTGGGTCCCTTCTGTTGCCCAGAACCTTCTTAACCGTGTCCATTGGGCCAAATGTATGTGGCAAATTGTGGAGGGTCCTGGAGGAGCCGCTGCTGAACATCCTGGCGTAGCTCCTCTGATGCATTTTGGTATTGCAACAGCCTCTTCCACCAGCTCTGCATCAGCTATTCCTTTCCAGAACGTCAAAGTGTCCTATGAAGTTTCCTCCCAGTCTTCCTCCACACCCTCCCCTGCAGCGTGAGGGCCGGTTCCTTCCCAGCCCCACTGTCTTCCACGATGGTGATGGCAATCCATGTGTTGCCACCTTTGGCCGAAGTGAGTGTCTGTGTCCCTGCACTGGAGCTCTGGCGATGCTCATCAGGAGGCCAGCTGTGGTGCCTTCTGCAGGTATCAGAGCAAGGGTTCAGAAATCCCTTGTTGGACCGGCTGTAACTGTAAGACTGCTGGGTTTTGGTGAATTCAAGGTTGTCCCCTTCGTTTCCTTCAGTGGGTACCATGACAGCAGTTCCCACGAGGACCCTCACGTGCGCATCAGCCCCCTTTCACTGAAGTCAAGCTGCCCGCATGGGTCAGCACTGCTTTTGTGTTCTCTGATTTTGCTGTCGCACACCAAGACACCATGGGCATAAACACGCAGGACCATTTGCATGACTGACCCACTTCTCCTTGGGCCTCTTGCTTCTGGGATCATTTCCCCCGCCGTCACTCTGGGCACAGAAAGACAGCAACTTGCAACTTCTGCCCCTGGGACAGGAGCCCAGCTGTAACCAGAGTCCCCCATCTCTGACCCTGCTGTAGCAGCCACCATATCCCCCACATCCTGCCAGTCTGAAGCTCCTGATGTATCAGGCTCTCATGATCTCTTATGCAGATGTGGCTAAAACTAGAACTAAAGGTGTCCATGGCAAACCTCAACCCCCAGATGGCCCGCAGGGCAAACCCTGCAATGCTCTTGAAGCTCAGCTAGAATCCAGCTAGGACCTCTTGGTGCACAGGGTACCCTCACACATCACCCTAAAACACAGGTGGATGCTCACTGTCTCCCCAACAGCAGTGGGTAGCGCGTTCTCCAGGTCAGACCCTCGAGCAAACATCCTGTTGTCTTCGTGCTGACTTCACCAGAACTCAGAGGGCCACGCAGCGCTAGCAGAACTCATCTACATAACTGTAGTCCAGCCAGCTGCTACGCCTTGAGAACGGTTTATCCCAAGCCCCAAGCTCGTGTTAAACATTAACCTCCATTCTGAGATGCGATGCTGTGGGACCTTTCAGAGCTGACTGGGGCTCTGCTCTCCTGGATGGATTCATCTAGTCACGTGATCAGTGCATTAACGAGGGATCTCAACATTAAACCCGCTTTCTTCGTAACTTATGCGGGCTGAGATACTGTGTCAGTAGCAACAGAAAATGGACTACAACAGAAGCCAAGTCTAGAATTTGCTGTGTTAAGGAAAAAGCTAACAACGATTAAAAAGAGAAGGCCTGGCCGGAAAATAGATGAAGGGAAAGTAAACCTAGGATTGGCAGAAGCGAGTAGCCCCATGGTTTTCAGCTCATTTTTTGACATTGCTGAGGTTTTTGCTGAATGCCAATGGGCTACCAGTCCCCAGACGAATTGCAAACTATTTTATTGGATCTTTGGAACCAACTTCTGTGTCGCTCAGATCTTCACTTTGTGGATGAGGAAATGGACACAGAAGGCAGAGTGGCTCCCAAAAGGCCACTGAGCCTGCAATGGACAGCATCTTCCCCAGCCTAACTCCAGAGTTCCGTGGTGCCCGGCTCCTCTCTGAAGATCAGCACACTAAGTCAGCTCACAGCCAGCGGAGGACACTTGGAAACAAGGGCTACAAGGACTTAAATTTGTACACATTTTTAAAGATTTTTTTATTTTATTTCACTAGCACATTTGCAATTCAAAGTTTACAATCATCTTGGGAATTATTCCCATGTACATATTACAGCTAGGGTTTGTTTTTTTTCTAATCCCCTTCCCTGACCTCCCCCTCCTCCTCTGGCTCCTTGATCACCTTTTACTTATTTGTTGATATTATTTGTCATTACATTATTTGAGAGATGAGATTAGAATTAACAGCTGACTTTAATAAACTAAATATTTTCATGCTGTCTCAATTTCAAAAGGCATTCTTGCCAGGCATGGTGCATGCTTGTACTCCCAACACATGGAGGGCTGAGGCAGGAGGACTGCCTCGAGTTTGAGTCTGGCCCAGGCTACACACTGAGTTCAAGGTCAGCCTGAACTACATAGATAGACCCTGTTTCAAAAAAGAAAAAAAGAAGAGAGAGAGAAAAGAAAAGCCCATGGCAACTCAGGATCTTCACTAGGGAACTCAAAAGGGTCACGGCATCGTGATGCACTTCATAAAGCCTGTAGCCCTCACTCTAAACATAAAACAAAGAAGGTACCAAGCATGGTGGCCATGCCTGTATACTCATACTCTGGGAGGCTGAGGCAGGACCTTGTCTTAAAATAATTTTTTAAAAAAGAGTTGAAGATGTAACTCAAAGGGAAGGCCCTGAGTTCCCAACACCACAAAAAATAAAAATAAAAAAAGCAAAGAAGTACAGCTAACAAGTCAACAGAGGAGATATGATGGAACTGTAAAAATGTTCAATCCAAAAGCTCCAAAAGGAGGAGGGAGGGAAAAAACAAATGAGACAAACAGAAAAGAAATTGCAAACCAGCACACTAAATCAAAATCGCATGGACCTTTACAGTAAATGTAAATAGTCTTAAGTGTTCGAATTAAAAGAAAGGGGGCCAGAGATTGAGCTCAGTGGCACCATGCCTACCTCTCAAGTACAAGGTCCTGAGCTAGATCCCCAGTTTAAAAAAAAAGGAAGAAAGAATTGCATTGGATAAAGAGCAAAATGTAGTTAGGTGGTGCTGCTTACCAAAAAACAATGAAATTAAAAACAGATTCAGATTAAAAGGACAGAAAAAAAGATAAACCATGTCAGTGTTCTGGAGTTAAATTACTATCAGAGTAGACATTGGAACAAGAAATATTACCAGATAGGAACATTACTCAATGGCAAAAGGGTCAAAGCAACA